TCCAGGCAAGAGTACTGGAGTGGATTGCCATTTCCTTCTCCAGAGGATCTCCCCCACCCAGGGATTGAACCTAGGTCTCCCGCATTATAGGCAGACGCTTTACCGTCCAAGCCACCAGGGAAGTCTTTCACATCACTACTTTTCATTAACTCTGAAATACAGATGTTAAGTGTCAGATAAGTGATTTTCTATACACTTTCCCTGGTGGCTCAGATGGTAAAGAATCTGCCTGCAATGCAGGAGACCTGGGTTCAATCCCTGGGTAAGAAGATCTCCTGGAGAAGGGAAAGTTCCTTGCATTCTTGCCTGGAGAATTCCAAGGACAGAGAAGCCTGGCAGGCTATTATTGTCCATGGGGTCATAAAGAGTCAGATATGACTGAGAGACTAACACTTTCAACACTCTAAAAAACACAGGAACTGCCCCAGAGATCATTTCTAAAATTCAACTATACAACAACATTTGCTGTGAGCTCTAAATGTAAGAAAAATATGTGTGTGTGTGTGTGTGTGTGTATATATATATGTTTAAATCTTAATTGAACTCAGAAAAGCTTTGTGAAACTGCTTGACTGGTTCCCATAAAGTTAATTCAGTTAGTACAATAGTGATTCATTGAACTAAGATAAGAATGGCAGAGGCAAAAAGCTGAACTGAAGAGTGTCTTAAAAGAAAGCTTCTTTATATATTGTGAAAATTTCTGAGAAAAGAAAATGATTAAAAATAAATAAAACTTTAGGCTTTATTGACTTCAAAGCACTTTGATTTGTAGAAAATATATTAACTGATAAGCTTTTTCATTTAATTCCAGAAGAAGAAAACTGGGCAATATTCTCCCTGAATTGTTAGAATCCATGATTAAAGGGGGTTAAGAAAAGACCAATCTCTATGTTAACCCAGACTTCATAATGCTGCCTCTCAACTGTGTTCCAGAGTGGTGTCTGAACAGGGTCTTTTGGCTAATCACACACTAATACACGAGACTCTACTAAATATACCTAATGTTATAGGAAATGCAATCCAGACTTTCTTTGAAGAATTTAGAGACTTTCCAGTGCCTTAAGTTCTCAGCAGACCCTCTGTTTGTCTTCTGAAGTCCATCTGTCCCATAGCAGGGGTCCCAGAGGCTGTAACAGATAAAGCTTCAGTGCCCCCTTCCCTCCTGCTCTTGCAGACTACAAACATCTTCACCTGCTTTACAAGGCTGATCATGATCTGCTTCCTGTTTCCCTTTTCACTCTCATTTCTCATCACAATTCTCAACTTCCCATTTCAGTTTCCAAAACAGGGTTGTCTTTCGGCTTTTGAAAATGTTTGCCTTGCCGGGAAACTCTCCCTCTCCTCCCCGGGGTAGCAAACACTGAGTTTTGGGCCCTACTGATCTTTCAGTTTGGGGATGAACTGTCACTTCGTCCCAGTCCAATGCTCCCACAACCATAATTCCACTTACTATGAGATGGTTCTTGCTACAGTACGAACTTAAAAAACCAAGAAACTCATCTATTCCACCTTAACCAATACACGTGGTAGCGGTGGTTTAGTGCTAAATCGTGTCCGACTATTGTGACCCCAAGCACCGTAGCCCACCAGGCTCCTCTGTCCACGGAATTTCCCAGGCAAGAACACCAGAGTGGGTTGCCATTTCCTTCTCCAAGGGATCTTCCCAACCCAGGGATCCAACCCGGGTCTTCTGCACTGCAGGCGAATTCATTACCAATTGAGCCACCAGGGAAGCCCAGCCAATACCAGGGAGACGTGCCTATTTTATTCCTTTTAATTTTCAGGGAAACTAAGCTACCTTTTTAGCCAATAAATCTCACTCAATTCTCAAATTACTTTGTCACCCTTTGAGCTTGTTTCTCAGGTTTATTTTCAGTGGTAATAACTCTTTCATCAAGCTCTACTCATTTATTTTGATTTATTTATTGTGAAAAAAATCTTGCATAGTTATAAAATTAATTGAATAAACCTAAGCATGGGTTTGTTTACCTCCTTTTAATAATAACTAATTTTCCCATAAATCCCCTCCATGCATGCATGTAAAATTACTGGATAGGGGATAAGACATTACATTTTGCAGGGATGAAAGAGAAAGAAGCAAAAGGAAATTCTAATCAGCTTCATAAATAACTTCAACACATTTACCACTTCACTGGTTTTTCTCCAATGTTCTCCTCCCACAAATAGAATAAATGAAATCAAAATTTTTACTGCCTACTCACATAAATTGTTACACCAGAAGATTAAGTGGCCCTGTACTAGAAAGGGCTCAGTAGAAAAATGAACTATACCGACTCTAAGAATACGTTCTAGGATTAAAAAAGGAAGAAAATCTGCCCAATGTATCCAGTAGCTCATAAATCTTTTTCAAAAAAGGATCTCATGACATCTGATTTAATCTTACACTCCTTTTCTTTCTCTCATTTTCCTCTCACTGAAATGCTGGTACATTCATCTTTGATGAAATGAAGCATCTTCAGATTTACAGCCAAAAATCAGCACAAAATTATTTGGCACACACTTTTCTGTTCTCTTTTCCTTTAAGTGAATCACTCAAAATTATTAACGTCAGTCATTATTTTAACAGTGAAAGGCAAATTATCAAAACTGCTTAAAAGCAACTTAAAAGATCTATCTATCTGCATGACTCATGCAAGGGATGTAGCTATTTGGAACATAAAATGCCAATGGTTTATCCAAAGAATCAAAAGCACATCACTATTTCAAACCTATCAAATTATCTTGTAAATAAAACCACTGTGTGATAATTCTATGCTTAGGGCACTTACTCTAAAGGTTATTTAGATCTGATACCAAGATAAGCAAAACTTTATTAGGTATTCAGCATAGTTAAACTATATGTTAGATACTAAAACAAATAAGAATGTATTATTATATACCTTTTGAAAGAAAGGGAAAATAATCTATCCGCAAAACAAAGACAGGATCCAAAATATACCTTTCTTTACAGATTTTAAGTATTGCAGGAACTTTCTTTATCAGCTGAGCCACTACAGAAGCCCAAGTATACTGGAGTGGGTAGCCTATCCCTTCTCCAGTCGATCTTCCCGAACCAGGAATCGAACTGGGGTCTCCTGCATTGCAGGTGGATTCTTTACCAGCCAATCTAGCAGGGAATCCCAAGCATTTCAATAGTGTGCCTTAAAATAAAGTTGTTTCAATAAAATTTCTTCTAAAATGTACTGTGGAAAAAAATGACTGGGAGGCATATATCTTAATTGTATGGAATTTGATATCAAGCAAAGTTATCAAAAAGTTTGAAGTTTTTGGTATGCTTTAAATGAGTATGTGGTAGTTTTGGACCTATCTACATATATAGCCGTGTTGTATTTCTTTCTTCATGTACATCCATAATATTACCTATGGAGGGATAAAAATACCCACTTTACTTTGTCTGTAGTCTTCCTTTTATTTCTTAGTAGTTCAATAAACTAAAAAAAAAATTGCATATAAATGTAGTAAAGCCCCTCGTCCAAAGGGTTTTATATGGAAAAAAAAAATTGAACTAAATAGTCTATCCCTCTATTTTGACATCTTTGAGACATGGACTGTCATAATATACTGGACTGCTACTGTTCTCTGGTTAATTATCAAAAAGTTTGAAGTTTTTGGTATGCTTTAAATGAGTATGTGGTAGTTTTGGACCTATCTACATATATAGCCGTGTTGTATTTCTTTCTTCATGTACATCCATAATATTACCTATGGAGGGATAAAAATATCCACTTTACTTTGTCTGTAGTCTTCCTTTTATTTCTTAGTAGTTCAATAAACTAAAGAAAAAATTGCATATAAATGTAGTAAAGCCCCTCGTCCAAAGGGTTTTATATGGAAAAAAAAAATTGAACTAAATAGTCTATCCCTCTATTTTGACATCTTTGAGACATGGACTGTCATAATATACTGGACTGCTACTGTTCTCTGGTTATCTCTCATATACACAAATAAATTAACCATGAGTTTTGAAGGTTAAATGTCAACACATTTTTATAGTTCTTACTTCAGTTTTCTTTACTTTATAATGTAGAAAACTCCACCCTTCAGAGCTTCTCTTCTGTAGTTACTTGAGAAGAAATATTTCTGTAACTAGAACTCCACTATTCTTTATGACTAGGCACTCTGGTGATGATTAGCAATAAAACTTAATTTTCCCCAAGATTCAAGCACAAGAAAATTGCCTTGGCAGGCATATTTATGCTGATATTTCAAAAAAAAAGTACTTCAAAGATTTAAAATCATATTTATTTTGATCTTGACATATAATTGCTTAGTAATTTAAATTTTGTTCTTGCATTTATTCTGGCTCATTTTAAAATTTCTTTTCATTTCAGGCTATAAACTATTATCTTTCATTTTATAATCCCAAAGTAATTTTGCAATCTGAAACTTTGTTTCATTTATGTTTGTAAACTCAAATGATATACTTTTAAGAAAACTTTTTCTATTACAGGTTCTATTTAAAGCTATCTCATTTCACTTCCATGTTCAAGAAAAAAGGAAATTAGAAACGCAATGTGAGATTTTTGATGAGATTTCATATAGGTATATATCTGAAGCAAAGAATTAAGCATTATTAATAAACATATTAAAATAAGTAAAATGAGTGCAAAAAATATAAATAGTAAAAAAACAAAAATCCCACAAAGAGAGAAAAATGGAAAATAAAGTAATGAAAGAGCATAAATACAATAATTTGCTTTAAGTATTTTTAACAGTAAAAGAGATGACCAGTGCAAAGGTGGACATATTATTACATAGTTCAAAAGTTTAGGAAAACATGCAAAATTAAACCTGTGTTGACAAAAACAGTCAAAATTCATGTTGCAAAGACTGATTCCAAGTTTATTTTACCTCTTTGTAGATGAAACATTTTACCAAAACGCAACTTCTTTTTTGGTATCAGATTTATCTTTTGTCACTAATATAAAAGTATCAGGTATAAGAGCATATACAGATACAAGTTTAATAGTAAAATTAAACTTACGTCTCTAAGTTGTCACCTTCAAGAACTGTCTGGACAGGCAGGTAGCCAAGCCGAGGATGTTTGGCAAAGTATTTCTTCGATCTGAACTTATTCTTCAGCACCTTTGTGAAGTCCCGTACATCTTCCCCAGATGTTGTCTATGCAGTTGAAAAAAATTACACTTTTCTCATTAAAATGGAAGGAGAAAACTATCTACAATCAAATTAGAGCAGATGTAAATTGATACAATTAAATGACAACACTTTCAGTAGTTTTATGTATTTTTGGAATAGCACAGAAGGTCATGAGAACACATGGCTATCAAGACTCATCATTAAATATTCCCAGCAATCGAGCAATTAGCTTATAAGTTTTAATAATGTGTTGAGAATAAACAATAAGTAGATCATTTCCCCAATATGTTAAAATCAATTTTGGCAATGTTATTCATTGATTCCTGTCACTAAAAAAGCTGCAATTTGCTATTAAACACTTGATGATGATGTACTCTAGATATTATATGATTTCAGCTAAGTAATGAGGCACACACATCCTCATAATTCACAGAAGCCAGCACAAATTGTAGTCTAGAAAAAGAGAAAACAGTACACAAGAGAGAAAGACCAGGGCCACGTTGGTTCTCTGTACTGCAAGGAATACTATCAGATTCTTTGTTCTTTCCTATTCATACAAACGTATAATAATTTGACATGGGACTTTCCAGGTGGTACAGTGGTAAAGAATCTGCCAGCAATGCAGGAGATGTGGGTTCAATCCCTGGGCCCTGAAGATCCCCTGGAGTAGGAAACACCAACCCACTCCAGTATTCTTGCCTGGGAAATTTCATGGATACAGGAGCCTAGCAGGCTCCAGTCCATGGGGTCGCAAAGCGTCAGATATGACCAAGTGACTGGAGCACGCACACACGTACACACACAGAGCATGCATTCGACATGGACTAAATTACTAATTGTGACTTTTTAAAAAAGCATTTCAATATGATTAGTTAATATAATCATTTAGGGTGAGGTGGCTGAAATCAACCCCCATCCATTCATCTCATTTCATAAACTGTTCTCTGAGCCCCAGTTTTCTACTCTCTTATCATTGATTCTACTTTTTATTTAGAATATGTTAAACAGACATCAACTTTGGACCTTCTGAAAATATATTCAAAAATACTGATCTGCTCAGAAATGAACAGGAACCTTGATCAGCTGACTCCTAGTCGACTATCTCTTCTACAACTAGACAGACCTCATTTGTTACAAAACAAAACCAGAGAACTTTTCTACATTAACAAACTGAATGCTCAACAGATTCACCTACCTGCCACCTGCTCCCTCCAGCCTTTGCACCCTCCTCAGTCTGTCTTTTCCCTCCTGATAAGCATGCCCTGGATTCATACAAACTTGTTTTGAAAACAGAAGCTTAACAAAATATTATTTTTTGAAACAACTGAATTGAGTCAATCCTTACATGGTTTTGTTACTTTCTATTTGCTCTCATGCCACCTAAATATGTTTTCCTCTAGTAAACAATTAAGGGAACTTTTGATTCTCTATGGAAAAGGTAATGGCAACCCAACTCCAGTATTCTTGTCTGGAGAATCCCATGGACAGAGGAGCCTGGTGGGCTACATTCCATGGGGTCGCAAAGAGTTGGATACGACTGAGTGACTAAACTACAACTACTACTTGATTCTCTAACCTTGCAGAGCAGAGAGAAAACATAAATCAGCCCAAGCTACGTACACATCAGTTTCATCTTTATTTAAAAGAATATGTATAGCAAGCAAAGCCCACATTATCACCGGACCTTGCTACCAGACCCACAATGTCAAATCTTTTTCTGAATAACAAAGAATAAACTACATAATACCTGCATTATATAGATACAGACCCTCCCAAATATAAAGTGGAGAAAATAAGCTACTAATGGGAAAAAAGGAAAGAAAAGAATCCAAGGCACTCTACACAGGGAAGAAGGTTGCTACGAGATGCTGGTTTGGGGGTATTTATCTCTAACCAGGCAGAACAGGGGGAGAGGCGCAGATCACAGCTGGGAATAAAGAAGGCAATATTTAGAGACATAGTGCCTGGTCCTGAGAATAAAGCCAAAAGGATATATCACTGCTATAAAGGACATTTGGACTTTCAGCAATGGGTATCACAGCCGCAGATCATTAAGTTTATAGATATGTTTATCCTGAATGTTTTGGTAAAACGAAAAAAAAAAAAAAGGAAGAGGCTTTCCACGATAGAAATACAAAAAGGCCCCATGCAAGAATAAGCATTTATGACCCAATTTATTTCTGTGTCTGCTCTTAACACACTGTTAATATACAAGGAGATAAGGAAGTAATGGCCTCCAGCTTTTACTTGGTCTATTTTTATCGGGCGATAAAAGAGTTTATGTTGTTCGGATGAGTGATTTTCAAGCCACATCCAGGTCTCTAACTCGGGAAACCCTGACTGGGCGGGTGGGAGAAAGGTCAGGTAGGCAGGGCACGTCCTCCAGGACAGCCTACAATACAGGACCCTTAGGTATATTCACGGTGGTGTGCCACCATCATCACTACCTAATTCTAGAATAGCATCATCACCTCCAAGAGAAAGCAAGACTGTACCCATTAGCAATCATTCCCGTCCCCACTACCACCCCCATCTCCTCCCCTCAGCCCCTGGCAACTGCTAATCTACTTTCTGTTTCTATGGATGTGTCTATTCTGGACATTTCTTATAAATGGAATCATATAATATATGGTTTTCTGTGACCGGCTTCTTTCACTAAGCATAATGTTCTTCCAGCTTATCTCTATTTGGGTTTCAGCGTGAACTCTTGATGGGGAAAAAAATGACATATCATCTAAAAGTACAAGTCCCGTTCCACATCACACATTCTTTAGGTAAAGACATTCACGATATGGAAGAAGAAAGCAAAACCAGCCAAGCAATAAAAACCCTTCTCTCTCCCACCAAAAAACAAACAAAAAACAACTACCTGCCTCCCAAAAAAGTTATAGAAGGGGTTTCTGATAATGCTCAAGTTTTATTTCTAGAAAAAGATGAGTGCATTCTCATATAGAGACTGCTAATGAGCAGAAAGTGCCCTCGTAATCTAAGGGCACTAAATTTGCTATCACCATAAACTTTGTGTAATATTAAAAGAAAAAGTGAAAAGTAGTTCATCCCACAGGAATGTGATTCCTTAGTTGAGATAGAACCAAGAAAATGAATTATGCCTATTTTCTCACCAAAAAAGGTTAAAATATATTTGTACATATGTGGTCTAATTTGCTGTCTAATGATAGTACCTAATATATCTCTGTTTGAAGGTGCTTGAGCAACAGTTTGGTAAAAAGGTCAAACAGAGGACCAGCCACCTACCATAATCAATATCATCAAACTCAACTCCGTCTCCATGCTAAGATGGAGAGTTGTTCTTTTTTAAGCAAACAGCTATTGATAATATGATGTGAAGATGAAATTGAAAGGATCATTCATTACTACACAAATTATCCAGCATTTTAACTTATCCATGCATTTCCTGAAAGACTAGGTTTTCATTTATTGCTCTAAGCAAAGAAATAAAAAGAACACAAGATTTTGTAGAACTCAGTAGATGTAATGAGGGTGATGTATTAGCACAGAAGTCTCACCTTACAAACAGCTTTCCTTGAATTTCTTTTTACTATCAAGTGTGATGAGACTGTCACCGCTTTTTTAACCAAAAGGAAAGTGACACTAAGGCTTAGAGGGATTCGGATCAAGAAGGTCAGGAAAACTTGCAAAACTGCATCTGTTCACCAGATTGGCACTGTGTCACCTCTCTAAGAAAAACTAAACAGTTTTAAGTTTTGTAAGAAGAAGAAGTCACAGCCATTGATTAAAGTATTATAATATTCTGAATTTCCCCTTTACTTTAAATAAAGTCCTACCAAGATACCCTGTGGCTGATTTTTACAAACTTTATATTGAAATGTCACTTTCTAATTTTAAATTGCATATCTCAGAAATGTTCAGTGTAAGTACAATTAGAAAAAAATACACATGAAAGAGAAAAAAGAAACATTAAAATTACCAGTTCTTCTGTCACCCAGAGACAATCAGTCTTAAAATGTTTGGTACTGTTTCGAGTTATTTTTATTCCTTTTTATGGCAAAATAGAACACACATATAAAACTATATACAATAGACATATGGTTTAATAAAATAAATTATATGGTAAATGCCATCAAGTCAGGAAATTGAACTTTGTTGGATATTCCAGAAGACTTGTTCCAGTTACAACCCCTCCCCACCTCCATAAAACCATCATCCTCATTTTTGTGACAATAATTTCCTTGTGTTTTAAAAGTAGTTTTATCACTCCAATGTCTGTCCTTAGATACTATAGTTTAGCTCATTTTTAAAAATATGATATATTTAAAGTCACTTATAATCTATCAGAGTTCTTCTTCATACTGTCTATTTTCTTACAACTTATCTGTTGGAAACCCGGCAATTCGACTGGAGCGTTTTTTCTATTGTCTAGATTTTGCCGGTTGCACATTTTTGGTGCAGTTTAGCATGTTCCTTGAAATTGGCAGCTGGATCCAGAGAATACATGAGACTCAGGTTTGCACTTCTGGCAAGATTATTGGTGGTGTCTCATAGGATTATAGGAGACACATGATGCCTGGTCATCTCTATCATGTACTCCTAGCACCTCTCACGGGCTTCCTGGTGGCTCAGACAGTAAAGCGCCTGCCTGCAATGCGGGACACCTGGGTTCAATCCCTGGGTCAGGAAGATACCCTGGAGAAGGAAATGGCAACCCACTCCAGTACTCTTGCCTGAAAAATTTCATGGACTGAGGAGCCTGGTAGGCTACAGTCCATAGGGTCGCAAAGAGTCAGACACGACTGAGTGAATTCACTTCACTTCACTTCAGTACCTTTCATGCTAAATGCCTATATCCATCCAATGAGGACTTTTAAATGGTGATATTCCATCATTCATTTTTAGTTTAAAAAATTAAAGACATCCTCCCCATCTGTTTAGTTACTCAGTGGTACAGTTCAAGAAAGCAAATTACATGTTTGATTTTCTCTTTTATTGACCACTTTGCTCTGTAACGGATTGGTTTCATATCATCTTCCAAAGATGACCAATTT